TGGTGCGCTGAGGAAGATAGGAAATGGACCCAAACTTGAAATTGCCCCTATGGGCTATTATTAGACTGGGGTACTTTGCCCAAAGACTCCTGTAGCGACGTTGTTTTGTTATCTCTGCTGTAAGTAGGTACAATAGCACAAAACTTTGCAGCAAAGGGCAGTTCGATACGCTGAAAAAGATAGGATATAGACCTAAATTATCGTATTTCAGTCTTACTGTGGTACAACAGTGTGAGACTTGGAGACAAGAGATAGTTTTGTATGGATCCAAGTACCCTGGGTACCAGACTCACTATATATAAAATAAAATAGACTCACTATGTATAAAAAATATAAAGTGAATATATAAATATATAAAATATAATATATAATATATAAATATATAATGAATATATAATGAGCGGGGTTTTTGAAGCAGCAAACTGGAGTTCGATTCCGACCAAGAGTGGTTCGATACAATTGGGCAGCACCCTTGTGGAAAGAATTTCCTCCTGTCAGCATTTGCCTTATGGTTATATATCTATGGTTTAAATGGCTCTGATGAAGGCTTTAAGCCAAAACAGAAGAAACTAAAAACTGCCTTGGCTACGGTGAGAACTCCAGTGTTGGCTTCGTAGATTCATCGCTCATTTCATTAGGCCATTTGGCTCAGTGGAATGAGCGGGGGGTTTTGAAGCAGCAAACTGGAGTTCGATTCCGACCAAGAGTGATTCGATACAATTGGGCAGCACCCTTGTGGAAAGAATTTCCTCCTGTCAGCATTTGCCTCATGATTATATATAAATATATATAAATTATTTTATATATAGTGAGTCTGGTACCCAGGGTAGGATCCCAGCTAAAAACTGTCTAGTTGTACTATATTTAGAGACAAATCTTGTAATGCTACAAAGTAAACAGAGTGAATTATTTTTTAATGACACACATCTATCACCATGCCAAAACTAGACATCTACAAAGTAAACAGAGTGAATTATTTTTTAATGACACACATCTATCACCATGCCAAAACTAGACATCAAAATACTGGTATGAGCATTGGCAAATTTCAGTACACTGCAGAGTAAATTGCTTGCATATGAACTTTCTCGTGTAATTTTTCTTACAGTTGCGATTAACTAACTCTTGAAAAGCTTTCAATGGTTCAGGCAAGATTATCCACGATGTATGCACAGCTCTATTATTTTGAACCTGTTTTAGTTCATTTATAACGAGTATATTATGTCATGCTACTGGCGTCTGTCCGTGTATCATTCTACAGATAAGAGCTTAAAATCCAAAAGGACATTGCAGGGAAAACAATCCATAACCTATAAGGTGCAAATTGAAAGGCATGCAAGTGTAGTTTGACTGTGACGTTGACACTATCAAGTCATTTTGACACATTCTCATGAACAGGAATGCAATGTTTATTGTTTCTTGCTCCAAGCTTTATCCACAAATTTCGAGCATTTAACCTTTGAAACAAAGATGCAGCAGCAAGAGCTACCATCTCGGTATCTACAGTTCGAATCGGGATATCGCGATGTCTTGCACACGAAGAAACATGTCATTCGTGTATCTGCTTCTTCGTGCTTCTTCACTTTCTTCATCGGCTAAACAATTAGCTGCAACTGCTTCCCTCGCTGTGGCCAATATAGATTTTCTGGTCACGTAATACACCAAAAGACTTTTCGCAAGAAGTAGAAACAGATCTGATTTATTTTCGCCTACTTGTAGGATCGGTCAAAAGTTTTTTTTGAAGAAAGAAGGGGTTGTAACCTCATCGTGCAACAAGATCTGCGAAAGATGATCTCCTCCTTGAAATAAAGAGCACTCACTTTGTAACAGCTGGGGATCGATCATTTGTTCATGTTGCCCCATGTTTCTGAAATGAACTGCCGTATTCACTGCTTCTCCTTCTTCTGCAGCTTCTTCCACCTTTATATGGGGTCACTGTTCCTGGAGAGGATGGATGCTCTTTTCCCGCATATCTTCTTTGAATCTGTCTTTCCATCTAAATTTAGGTCTCCTTTTCTTCTGTGTCCTGGAATTTCTATTACTATCACTCTTCTTCCAACATATTCCTCCTCTCTTCTCATCATATGGCCATGCCAATTTAGTCTTCTTTCTTGTTTCTTCGAGCTTATTTCGGCTACCTTCACTGTTCCTCGTATCACCTCATTCCTGATTTTGCCTCTTCTCGTGACTCCACACATCCAGCATAACATCCTCATCTATGCACCATTCATCTTCTTCTCCTGTGCCTTCTTCACTGCCAAGGATTTACTGCTGTATAGCATTGCTGGTCGCACAGCATTTTTGTTCACCTCACCATCTTCTTGTCGCACAGCACACCTAACAGCTTCCTCCTGGAGTTCCATCCACATTGGATCTGATGGTTTATCTCCACATCGAGCTCCCCATCTTCAGTCACATGCGTCCCCAAATACTTGAATGCTGGAATCTTCTTGATAATTTCCTCATCCATTCTCATGTCGTCAAGATCTTCAAAGTCATTAGGCTGAAGATATTCCGTCTTCGTTCTACTTATCGTAAAACCTTTCTCTTCTAAAGCTCTCTTCCATCTTGATAGTCGCTTCCGAAGTTCCGCTTTAATTTTGCAAACTATCACAATATCATCAGCAAACAGCATGGTCCATGGGGCTGCTCTCCAAACTTCTTCGGCTGAGAGCAGAGCCTTGATGCATTCCGACCCTAATCATAAACTCATCTGAGTTACCCACACAGCTGTTGACACATGATGTAACTCCATCGTACATATCTTGTACCAGACGCACATGCTTTTCACTTACTCCTTTTCTCTCATGCATCGCCAAACTTCTGACCTAGGGACACGATCATTCTCCATTTAGATGGCATTTCTATACCATCATCACCAAGACATTTCCACATTTCGATCGGGATGTTATCTGGCCCTACTGCTTCATTCATCTTCATTGCTTTCATTCCTCTCGCTACTTCCCCCCGAATTTTCTCTCTGTTTGCCTTTCATTTGGCATTCCTTCTCCGCTTGGTAGTCTCGGGTTTTCTTCATTTAGAAGGCCTTCAAAGTAATTTCTCCATCTGTTCATGATATCTTTATCATTGTACAATATGTTTCCATTTTCATTTTTCATATATCGTATGTATGTTTTATCCTTTGTTTTTCCATCTCTTGACTATGCAATTCTAGAAATCTTCTTCTGCCCTTCCACTGTCTCTAGCCCTTCATACATTTCTTCTCTCATTCTACCACCATGTCTATTTGTCGTCCGGATTGAAAAATTCGATAGAAACATTTAAAACACTTTTAAAGAAATTTTTACTTCTAAGATATTTTAGTATAGATAACGCATAATGTATATAAGATTTTCTGTTTTTTAATTGTGAAGTATACAATGCGCCTATGAGCCCTGAGGAGATACGAGGAGATGTTTCTTTATTAACATTTATTATTATAATATTTGTAACAAGGGTTTTTAAAAATCCAGAAAAAGGCAATAAAAGGATTTAAGGATTTAGAAAAAAACAGTTTATAGGATTGATATCTTTTATCGTGAAAAGCCCCTTTTGGCAATCAGAGAGAGGTCTGGATTGGGTCTTCCCGTCTTAAAATAGTATAAGGGTACATTTTCATTTTTGGTCCAAATCAAATCCTTTTCTGTGTGTCAAATTGTCATTTGTCGCAGAGTTTCATGCCATTGTATAAAGGAGAGGCTGAGATACGATATTACCATTACTGTCTGTAAAGGTAAGGAACAAAGTACCCCACTCTAAAAATAGAACAAAAGGGACACTTTTCAGTCGGGGTCTATTTCCTATCGTTTTCCACGTATCGAACTGCTCCTTGCTGCAAAGTTCCATGCTATTGTACCTATCTACAGCAAAGATATCAAAACAATGTAGTTAGAGGAGTCTTTTAAGAATGGGGCAATTTTCAGTTGGGATCCATATCCTATCTTTTCAGCATATCAATCTGCCCCTTATTGATAAGTTTCATGCTAGTATCACAATTTGCACAATTCAATCTAAAAAGTGACTTTACAGCCCTGACTATGGTCTACAGCGATGGATGGAACTTTCTTGTATTGTGTAAATAGAGGTCCTTTCTCTTTAGGGCCCCAGATGCTTCCGTTGGGCAACTTATAATGTTGCAGCCTTTTTGCAAAAGTTGATAATATGTATGTCGAAATTAAGCTTATGATCTAACGTCAACCCTAGAGATTTCACCGTGAAGGACAATTATTACGTCATGTGATTGGTGACATCCAACTCAACGCATCGTAGGAAAGAATCTACGCTAATAAATAGCTCTAGATTCACTACGCATACAAATTAAATGCAACAATTGCCATATATTTTTGTCTTTACCCCTTAATCTTTTCCTAAGCAAACACCAGAAAGTTTTCTCGAGTTTCTCTTCTATCGGAGGACGAAACTTGAACCCAGCACAGGATCGCTCATTTGATTCCCCACACACCGTCTTCTTGGATTTTTTTGCCAATGCCATTAATATTAATTCGTTTTCCACTAGTATTTGTCTGAAGAAAGTATGGTATTCAGATATTCTTGAGGGTACTTCCCACCGCCCCCCCGACAACGTTTCTTTGCTAAGCCCATTGATCTAATTTATCTTTCCCTTCCAATACTCCAGCACAAATCTCCAAGTAAGTGTATGGTTCGACCTTCTGGTCCTGTTGACGATATAGTTATTGAAACATCTAAGAAATTATCAGGCACATTTTAGCTAATTTGTATCTGTCTTATTAAATTTTAAATGTTCTTTAAAAAAAACATGTAGGCTCATATTGTAACATAGCTTTGAAGATTTTTAGGTGTTTTTCGGAATTGTAATTGAGATAAAAGATGAATAGATTTTTGAGATGAATTAATGAAATGAAAACCAAATCTTTTAACTTACATTGCTCAAGCAGTAAGTTCTGGTACATCTGTACAGGTGTTTGGTTTCAGCAACACCTAAGAAAGCGATTCAATAAAGCTGTATTTGTCTTATTCAGGTGGATTCATTGTGAGGGTGAGAACAGATTCGAATGAGTACAAGATCCTGGTCAAAAACAGCACAACTGTAGGGCAACTAAAAGAGAAGATAGAGCAAATAACAGGTTAGATCTTACAATATAAGCTTCTACACTGTAGCGTAGTTAGAGGGAGACAAGAGGAGGCGGACGCCCCCCGCCCCTAATGGAAAAGATATCGTTGAAAAAGAACGTTTTTAGCGTCCCAAAGGATGGTGAGGGCATATTTTGGGAATAGAACGGAAAAATTCAAAACATTTTAAGAGTTTGTCGTGTAAACGCAGCCTAAGTCATTATAACTTTTTATAAAGATTTGATGATTTCGTAGGATTTTGATATATTTGGCAAAGACCGGTAGGTCTTAGGTGTTTCTAGCGGGTTGGTTTTTTTTATTAATTGTGAATGTGCTTATGAATGTATAAATATGCTGTTTTAGCTTTATAGAGTTAGACTTTTCGGTAGAAGTATGTAGCTGAAATTTTCAGTGCTGACGGAAGAAATTCGGTGGTGATTAATACGTGCCTTGTCTTTAGATTGCTTTCAACCATTGCTCTGTAGACAGTGGTCTCTGTAGAGAGTATTGGCTTGCTGGGGTAAAATAATTTCGAAGATTTGAAGACAATCCAGCTTTCATCTTACGATTAGATTTTTGTATTGTTCGTTTCAGGTCAGGGTTTTGTCACTTGTTACCCTTAGCTGCATAATTTTGGGTACCCTGTTTATTGCCCCCCCCCCTTACCAATAAACTCTACAGGCCCGTTGACTTTGCAGGCTCTTTAATTCATCGAAAGCTTTGCACCAATTGTCAAAAAACCATCTGATTTGACAATGAATTTTTTTTCCAAAGGAGGTATCACACAAGTGAAAATTTATATGTTGCTACTACTTCTGAATTTTGACACGATGATACTGAGGTCCCACAAAACTAACTCTATCCAATTTTAAGTGAAGATTATGAAATTGGCGATGATTATCTAAATGTTCAAATTTCTATTTCCATTGCAAGAGGATCCGCTGTTTGAATACAGGTCACAAACAAGCTACAAAAGCTATAACCTACAATCCCGGACAAAAATTTTGAGACAAAATGCAATTTTTGTAATTTTCTACTTTACCTTACCCCTGTAAATTCGAGCCCCCCTTTCCCCCGAAAGCAATGTTGGATTTGTAGTTTTATGATTTTTACTTAAAAATCAAGCATTCAACATTGAATTGGGGAAGGGGGCAAAGCTATTTTTAAAAAGAAAGAGAAAAATAAAGTTTTCTTGAGAAGTCTCAACTATTTTTCTCCGGGATTGTAGATACCAAAGCCTCAATAAATGAGTTGGTCGGTGAAAAAGTGGGTAGTTTCTACTGCAGAGTGGGTGGGTAATGGGCGTCGCCAGTGAGACCACATCCCTTTTGCCTTGTTTTAGTGCTTTGTTCCAGGCTTATTTTCCTTTGGAAATATGATCTATCGCTACTTAGCGCCTTTTAATCCATTTCTAGAAGAAATATGTAAACAAGGCTTTTACAAAAGTGAGTGGGGGTTAGCCCCCTATACCCCTCCCGGCGCCACCACTAGTTGGGGTCACTATTTGTGTTGAAACATTGTTATACCGGTAATATCTCTGTCATTTTGCAAGTGGTGTTTCAATATATGCCTTCGGTGTAAGCATACACTAAAGTAAGCTTATATGTCTTGTATTGGTACGTTATATCAACCTGTTTCGACAGCCTTTAGCAATAGTTTTTTCAAACAACTCCCAGAGTTTGAGTGTGATAATTTTGCATTTTAAAGTGGTGCTTAATGCATAAGTTCACATTTTCATGAAAAACATGAAGATCTATCCCAAAAGCTAAACTTGAAAACAAGTTGACGAAGCAAAGATTTTTTCTACCATTAAAGAACGTTACAAAGAACTTAAACCAAATGCAAAGAAAACATATGTTGAAATGATAGGGACGGGCTTACTGTTAATTTTTAGTTGAGTTATTATCTATGCGCCTCTAAAGTCATAGGCCCCCTTGTCAGTGACCCCCTGACCCCCCTCTCCTTAGCCCCCTAAACCACCAAATTTGTCGGAAAGTTTCTAAAATTTGGCAGCTTTAAGATATCGAAAAAATTTCTGTTAGCACAAACTTACCTGAGTTTTGTGCGTTTAACTATAGATAGGCCGGTCATGTCCGGTTTGGAACATTCAGATGATACAGTAAGCCTCAAAGAGGCCCTACAAAATATGGGAATATGTAGTCGTTCTTATGTTATGCTCGTTGTAAATCAATTCTATCTGAAAGGTAAAAGAAACGTTGTTTATTTTCAGATATACCAATTACTGCTCAACGATTATTTTACAACAACAGTAAGATGCTCGACTGCACACAGAAAATGTTCAGTGTTGGACCAGGTAAATACCAGCTGTGCCAAAAGATCTGAATCCAGTATCCCAGACTCTGTCTGGGATACTCTGGCAACCTGTCTTTTTCAAATTAGGAGTAAACGAACTTGATTTTTCCTCTCTCGCATCCTAATCCTTGTCCCCTTTCCCTTGTTAGGACCTAGCCAGTAGTGTAGTTGAGGGGTAGCGCGGCGGCATAACGCCGTTACGCTTCCCAAAATGTATGAGCTACAGCGTGATGCTACCTACCTAAGCAAACAGTAGCGTTGTGCTTCTTAAATATCAGTATCATACTAGATATAGAATCATACAAACAGCCAATTTTTGATTAGACAATATGGCAAATCGATTGATTAGGCTTTCAATACTTGTTTCAACCAAGATTCGAGTGATTATCAAAGTGATTTAAGCCACATGAAGATATGGCAATTGCATTTTGGACATTAGCTATTGTAAATTGGGCATATATAGTTCGGAGGTCCTTTTGTTTGTGACTGTTCATTGGTCAAGATAGGAAGGATATTGTTCATTGATCAGAATAGAGAGAAAGGTTATAGAAGAAGTAAATGAATATGGCTGCAGTAGGGCAAAGATTTGGGCAATATGTCAATTTACGAGAAACAATCAATGCTTTAAATTTGAAGAAAAGAGTAATGGATGGAGTCATAAAATGTCAAGATCACAATTATGGTACATTCTGTCACAGTAATCAAGGTGGCTCTTTCACAAAAATCATACATATGGTCAAGATATTCTCTTGAAAGAAACTGGGAAAGATACAAGGCCGTTGCCTCTGGGTTTGCATATTGCTATCCCAATTACAATTGGTAAATGGTGACTATAAATAGTTATGTTCATTCAAGACTTTTATTCAACATCAATATACCAGTCAATAGTTATGTTCAAACAGGAAAGCTTTCAGTTTTTGACAAAAGATCTTGACCGTTGGTGACCTTTTTATGCATTAGCAATAGCTTCTCGAAAAAGACTGGTAAAAGTTCAGCTTCGAGTAAAACATCATACAAAGATGCTTATGTTCATCTTTTCTAGTAAGTTCATCTGCTCCTAGAAATAGTGAAGAGCTTTGTAGTTGCTTTAAATTAGTAGAAAATACGACTTCCATTTTCTTAACATTTGAGCTCCATTTTCAATTGCCATGACCAAACGCATTACCCTGGTCGTAAAACTATTTTCATAACGATAATCGTATCAATGTGTAACAAGACAAATGTTTATTTTTCAGGAAGCATAATTCATGTTAAAAGAAGAGGAAGCTGGTGTTTTATGTATGTAAAAAGTTGAATCTTATGTAAAAGATATTAATTAAATTATTAGTTAATTAGTTGGCATACCGATTTTAAATATTCAGTTTTTGTTGACTTCGACTGAGAGATTTGTTAATATAGTTGAGCAGTTATCAGAAGGGCGCATCAGGACTGGTGAATCCGAGAGGGGGGGTGCATATTGATGAGAAAAGGCTTCTGGCCATCCCCAGAATACCAAATATCTCAAATATATCTTGCGCCAACCATGGTGGCGGCTTTTAATAAGCCCTTCGACAGTCGTAACATTTTTGTTCCTCCACTTCCGAAAACGTTTCGCCGGCCCTGTGAATTGCTTAATCCGCTATCACCGTAATCACCGACACGTTAGCTTGGACATGAAAAGGTGCATTTATAGGTTATCAGTAAAAGAGAATAGAGCATGCGTAAAAATATAAACAGGTCGCCTGGGCCTGTCCGATAAATCCTTTTTCCCTGTTATTTATATTGTAGGATACCATTTATAATGATGATATATGGTGAAATCTTTTGCTGACGAAGTAAATCATTCAATGCTACGCCCAACAATTTTCGTTGTATATTTCATTTATTTCCTTAGATATCACAACTAATGTCGCCCCCTCTCAGAACAATGTTGACAGCAATCATTCGAGTCACATGGAAAACATACTTGCTTATCTTCTACGTCGTTTTAAACTTAAACTAACGTTGTTTTCTGGGAGAGAGGGGGATGTCTGAATTTACCCTTGAAACTGACTTTAGTGTTCAAAGACTTTTGGCAGGCATTGCAGATGTGACGTATAACAAACATGATAGGAGAATAATTACCTTATTGACATGATGACTTTTTAGTCTTGTGAATCATACTGTCACAAAATAAAAGTATGTTAATTATTTTTTCTAGATTGTGATGAAGCGATCAGGCAACCATTGCAAGTAACCAAGGAACTCTCATTTCAAAATGCACAGTAGTGAAAGAAAAACTCTACGGCTAGTTGTTCACTTGCATATTAAGTTTGATAATTGGAAAGAATATGTCCACGTACCTATACTGCGGATGGTGGTATAAATGATATTTTTGTGCAATATTGGTTTTTTAGAGTATTGTCTGTTTCATATGAGTGATTTTGAAGATTGATTTAAAGACAGCTGCATATCAGGCAATATCTACTTCAGCATTAAAGCGAGGCTGTTACTATCACACCGGAAAGTGTGTTGGGAAATTTTCCAGACATTGGCGCTACCGGGGTGGCTCAGGGCTAGTTAACACCAAAAATTAACCCATTTCCAATTCTTGTAACTTTTGATGTTCTACCCGGGCCATAGTACTGCCAAAGAGGGCATAGAAAAGTCGCTAGCTGTGTTGATTTTATCCAGTCTTGAAGCATTTTGGAAAATAATTATACATCGATGAAATAGCCTGAAACCATATTGAACCACTTTCATTTTAATTGATGAAAAACAAGCTGAAAAGATATGATACAACTAGAAAATTTCTGAAAAAATCTTGAATTTAAATGAAAGTTGGCACATTGCGTTGCGTCTGAATAGGCTAGTTCCGAATCCTGGTCACGGCACCACTTACATACTATTTTGAATCTTTCCCCAGACAAGGATTTCTTTACAAAGCAATTTACAAGAGAAAGCCTAGAATAACAACTTCACGTTTATTATGAGTATTAATGGGGAATTATTAAGCTTATATTATTTATCTAAATCAACTTTATTCTGCACTCGTTAAGCCATCCTTGAATTTAAATTCTATCCGGAAAAACGGATACAGGGCGGGGAAAGGTACTCAAATTGGCGGGGTAATAAATTTTTCTTGGTCCATAATATCTGTGATGTTACATTTGCGGGTTGCGCCGATACGTTAGGGGGTTGAACCGATTATTTTTTCCCAGTTAAGGCCCATTCGACGTATCAAAAGCTAAGCTGCCCCAATAAGCAAGGATCTGGGATTCCCGAAAAAGTGGTGGAACTATTCACTTTTTTTCTATAAAAAAATGGCTATAAGAAACGAGTACTGGACAGTCAGAAAAAAATAAGAAACTCCAGTACTCGAAGCAAAATTACTAAGAAACTATTAAATGGTGATAAAACTGAGAAAAACGAAATTTTGTAAAATCCAAGAATATGATTACTCTGTTGGCCTAGAACTTAAGACACAAGGGCAGGGACGTAAACAAGTGGATAATTTTGAGGGGTCGTGGAAGGTTAAAAATTGCAACTCTGCTTAAGAAAATTTTTCTCTCGACCTGTTAATCTACTGAACCTACTAAATTGGTTTTCGAAAATAGCCTTACTCTAGATTTCTAGTTTCTGTATTATAACCGACATTTTACTCGTAATAAATAGTCTTAAGCATAAAAACACTATAGAAGATGAAGGTAATCTCTAAATTTTGATTAACGTAAAACGAACACATAATCTTTTCGTAAGAAGTAAAGCAATATAAAAGTCAAAGCAGTATTAGATCTTTGATATATTTAATTATAAGTAATATTCTTTCAAGTCAATTAACAGCGATTCTGTTCCTTTTCTGCTTTGCTCATCTTAAAGCTATTTGCTGCAGATCAGTTTTATATAAAGTATCTTTTTCACAATAAAGAAGCATCAAGGAATTAACCAGTTAATCTTTGTTCTTGATCGAAGGAAACTTTTTACAATTTTCAAAGGGCTAAATGTCCTTTGTGTTTTACAACTGAAAAGGGTGATCCCCTCAGGGAAGTGCATATGCCCGATTCGTAAGATAAAACACTCTTCTTTGATCAAATACTTCTGCTGCCGCTTCTTTGATCAATGTTTTGTGGTTTCTCATTAGCTTTATCATAGCAATTTATGATAAGATTTAAGGTGGTCTACAAAGTACAGGGGGAGCTTAGCATACACTCGTTAAGAAGCTTTGAGAACTTCTAGCAATGACAGATTTTTAATGTTTTAAATGAATTGGCTACTCGTAGTTTCTTGAAAAATTCCCACTTTCAATTGTTCTGATCAATACAGGGTATGATTTTTTCAAAACTGCAGGCTAAATAAATTTTCATATTTAAAATCCCAAAATCTCTAAGCAATATGATTCACATATTTGGTCATGAGAGTTCAAAAATTCCAAGTCAACTTGTAAGTTTTCCAACTGTAATTGGATTTTCTAACCTTTGGGGGGCGTGACGCCCCCACGCCCCTTATTATTTATGTGCCTGCACAAGGGATTAAAATATACTTCCCACATCTGTCTAGATAGAGCATCAGAACGGAAGCGAATCTCTTGACTTGATAAAAAAGGTCACGAATATTTATTTCATAACATCATTCATGATTATGACATCATAATTAAGAAACTCTTAGGAAAAAATGAGTATTAAAATTTCCAGGAAATTAAGAAACTGGAGTGCTCAACATCGACCTCTGTTTCTTCTAAAAAGTAAGTGTATTCGAACTATCCGCTCTTTCACCGAGGCTCTTGCACCCAGGGTGGTGGATCTGGGACTTTTGCAAATTCCAATTAATATTTTCATTTTTCCCTAGCAATTAGATTTTCGTCAAAAGTTATATCCGAACACTTTATTTATGGAATCTACTACCGATTTTGCCGACAAACTGACAATTTTCCCCAAAACGTTGTCATTTGTGGAGAACCAGAGGGGAAAAATGCACTTCCCAAGAATGAGATCTTTCGCTCACTAGGGCTGCCTCGTTCAAATGCTCTGATGTATGGTTTTTGTTTATCAGGCTAGAGGTATCACCGCTTTGCAGAAGTCTAAATTGGTTCGCTAAATTTATTTTATATTGGATATAAATCTGGCTCAAGTTATGCTTTTCAGGACGTTTACAAGATCTTTGTTACAAAAAACAAATAGAAGCAAGATTTGTCGAGTGTTATCAGTGAGCTACGCAAGATACAACAGTGACAAGAACACCTTTTCTACTTTGTCAAGTTGTCTGCATCCAGACATCATCGACGAGTTTCAAGAAAACGGAGCTGTTTGTTTACGCAATGTTTTTGATAAGCACTGGCAGGAAGTAGCTCATAAAGGAATCGAAAAATGCTTCAACAACCCCAGTGAATATTGTGATTGGATCATTGGGGAGGATGGCGAAGGGGTTTATTTCAATGATTACATGAACTGGGAAAAAGTGGACGAAATAAAAGAATACGCATTCAACTCACAAGCAGCGGCTATTGCTGGGCAGTTAATGAAAAGCAATGTTAGTGTACTTACATATTGGTTTTAAAGTAACAATTTTGGAATTTTAAAGTGTCTTCATTGCAAAACAATTTTCCATTTTTCATATTCTTATTTGAATGATTTTTTTAGATGAACAGCCCTTATAAGAAACGTCAGGCCGAGATAAACCCAAAAAATTAGAACAACATAAGAAACAAGGCAGGCTGAAATTCAATAAAACTCAAGAAATAAAACAAGCGAAAGTTGAAAAATGAAAGAATAGCATCAGAAAAATAGCATTTATTACTTTATCAAGCACAGGTTATGTCTGGTCACCACTATGCACAGGACATTCTATTACAATAAAAGAAATAAAGTAAAAGCCCATGAGGCTGAAATTTTGCAAAAAAATAAGAAGCACCAAGCTAGAACTGGAGCCCAATGTTCTTGTAAAAAACATGTAGTCAAAAAAAGGTTTTAAAATAAGATACCACACCGAAATCTATTTGTAGCATGAAGATTCATCTGAAACAACAAAAGCAAAAAGAAATAAGTGAGCATGGTAGCACAGGTAAAAACATTTTAGCAGTGATTTGAAGAGAATCTGACTGTGCTGCCAAAATATCGTCTTACCAGTTGTGTATTTTATTCAGCAAAACTGAGCACCATGAAAAGTGCCTTAAGCACCTTAGGCTGCCTTAAGCATCTCCCAAGGATCTGATTTAATTCTAAATGCAAAATTTGAAAGCAATTTATTAAGAGTTGATTTCAACCATGTTGCTGTAGGTGCTGGCTAGGGGGGGGGGCAAACTCGAGCAAGAATCATACCTGAGGGGGGGGGGCAGGCTTTAAAACAAGAAAACAGATATATAACAAACAGGTATATTTGGACAAAATCAAGGTCATGGAATTATAAATATGCCAAATTTTCAAAATATCATTTGGAAAAACTGTAGCCAGAGGGGGCAAGCTGTTGTCAAAATTTTCATTTAGGGGGGGGGGGGCTGCTACGTGGCTGGTTGATTTGTGATTGAATGTCCTTTGATACAATGAGCTTGTTGTTTTGGAACTTTTGTAGGGACATGCCCTAATCTAAACAATGCTGAAACTATTCCACTTATTGGGCACACAGAAGGAACATGGGAAGTTCAGTCATCAACTAGTGTCCTAAAAAATTGAACTACTCAACTTTCAAATTTGTATTAGTTTTACTTCCATACAATTATTATTCTAGTCTACTTGACTAAAGATAAATGATATTGACACAAAATAACTACAATTTAGGAATGAGCTAACATTCACAAAAAGCAATTTGTTTTTATACCTTATAGGTGTCAATTTTCTTTCATGATCATGTTTTTGTGAAAAAAGGAGGAAAAAATAGAGCAGCCCCCTGGCATCATGATCAGGCTTATTATCCTATTGATGGGATGCAGGTATGTTTTCTTCTTTTTTTGTTTTTACCTAGCATTTGAAGGTAGTTTTGGGACACAGAGAAGATATGCTCATGGGGCGGTGTCCTGGCCCTTCCTGTGGATGTGATTACACCCCATGATTCCTGCTCCTGGAGCTGCAGAGAGCTGGCTACTCCTCTCCCTCTAAGTGAAAGTTTGGTCATGTAAGGGACTCCCATTCCAAACTCTTTCATTCAATAATTGTCACTTTGTAGCTGATATTATGCAGTTTGTAAGTTGTTGAGTAAGATTAGCTAAAGATGTTTTTCACGAGTGAGCATCACCTTTCAATTTTGATACATTATCTTAAATTTCATTAAAACCAAATCTTAGACCACAATCATTGATTGAGAATGGCCCAATATGATCAAACACACCCATTTGAAACTGAGTAAAGCCTGAAATACACGATCAGTTTTTATCAGTTTTTAACTGACAGTTTTCAGTTTTCAGTCAAAAACTGATCGTGTATTTAGCAAAAACTGATAAAAACTGATGCATTGATAACCTTCAGTTCTTGACTGAAAAAGTTGAACATGTCCAACTTTGTCAGTTTTTAACTGATGGGATTTTTATTCATTTAGGTAGACTCCATTGTTTAAAGCTGGCGCCTCTATAATCCCCTTGCCCAAGGTGCCAAGCGTGGAGGGAAGCTCCAACAACTCGTCAAAATTTTCAAGTGTCATTCTCGGAAATTTTCTATATTCTGCTTCATCCTCTGATCTTAACTCTTGTCAACCATGGCTTTACCCAAACAGACCTTGTTTTCTTTTTTCGATATTTTCGCCTTTTTTGATGACCAGAGCCGCAGCCAGAAGAACTGCAGTTGCTTCTTGAACAAGCTCCATTGTAAAAAGGAGCCGATCTAATCAAAATGTGAACTCATTCTAAAACTGAAGAAAACTGATCGTGTATGGAGGACATCGGTTTTTGTGAAACTGAAAACTGTCAGTAAAAAAATTGATAAAAACTGATCGTGTATGGAGGACATCAGTTTTTGAAAAACTGAAAACTGTCAGTCAAAAAACTGATAAAACCTGATTGTGTATTTCAGGCTTAAGGCTGAAAAAAATGTTTTGTTGGGGAGGCAAACAAGACCCACAAATTGAACTGAACCCCTGCCCCAAAAAAATTTTCTGATGTCTGCATACAGAAAACTGAATATGATTCAATGCACTTTGGTCCATTCATGTCTACAATTTTATTTAACCACTGATTTTTAAATCTGAGTAGAATCATTTTGCTTTTAGAATTGCACAATCTGGATGCCAACAACACCTGTAAACAAAGAAACTTGCTTGCGTTTTGTCAAGGGATCGCACCTTTGGCAAAAATGGTTTCACCCAAAGAAGTTTGTTTCTCATTTGAATTATTCTCTTGACACAATTGATACCTTTGAGTATGAAGATATTCCTGAAGATATTGATGATGGAACTTATGAAATCTTGACATGGGATCTACAGGTATTTTTTATGTAGAATTTAAGTACAATTGATAGAACAAAAATCCATAGTTGTTTATTGAATCTATCTTTTTTTATTACATTTCCCCCATAATTGTCACCTCTTCTAATCAATTAAGTATACTTTTGAATTATTGCAACCACCCAAATGATAAATTTAACTCTATAACAAACATTTTATATTGTTTGGAAACACAAAGTTGTTTTAACTTAAAGTTGAGATGGATTATATGTTGAGCCAAGAGTGATGTGCCCTGGGCCAGGGTGCATTCCATGTCAACTGTATGCCAAAGGTCCACTGGGGCATTTGTTTAGGTATGCTGAAAATATAAAAGCAGTTGGTAAAACTGTAAATATTATTGCGCCAGACAAAGAAAACTGATTATTAGAGAAAACTGTGGTGTGTGAGTCTTTATTTTATGTTGACTTTGTACATGGCTTCATATTTAGCATGTTAACTAATGAAAATTTTAAGGTACGCTAAACAATTTTTTATTTGTTTGCACGCCAAAAAAACCTGGGTGTACGCCGAAGATCTTTGGGCCTAAGTACATGGAATGCGTCCTGGGCATAATAAGAGAGATACAATAAATGGAGAAAAAGGATCCAAAATGGATATCCCTGGGAAAAATCTACTTTTATGCAAGCTTCATTTCATAAATAAGATAAGATATATATTAGAAATTTTTACTTTTGAACACATAATCTAATATAGAGCCATAAAATATCTTTAAATGGGTTAAATATGTAAAAGTTTAGTGCGATGTGGCAAATAAAAGATTTAAAGTTTGCTAACAATTCTCTGTCATTTTGGCTTAGTTTATGAAGGAGACCAAATAACAGTGATTTAATGTGATTCAGCCATTTCAGGTATGACATCAGCCATTTTGTAACAAGTTTATCTGATTTCACATATTTTGGTCGTGATACTCTGAGTTTATTAAATAAAAATTTGATAATATCTAATGATTATTAATTATTTTAGTGACGTCATCAATTAAAATCCCTATCCTTTGAAGAAATGATCATTTTCCAGTAATTACTATAATCATTTCTGTTGTTCATTAAATTTTGCACAGTTGCATTTACAGCAAAGATCTGACTTCTGAAAATCTAAAAATTTTTTGCAATGTCTTTTTACTGTAAGAAAAACCCGTATCGGCAATAGAGAACGCCAATTTTACCACCAGGAAACGTTTGTGACTAACTTGGAACTAACTTTTGGCTAAGGCGTTTTCAAAATCATAGAATCTCATCAACATTACTTTTCATAGCCCTCCTTCCAAAATTTTCTTATCGAATCTAAACGTTTTATGATACACAATCTATACTGAAGATGATGACTAAAATCCCCCGTCGCATCGCTATTGCGGAGATTTTTTAATACATATTTGCCAATTAAGGAATTTATACAGCCAAATATACATTCGTTGACAGAAAAATTTGACCTCCTAAAATCTCTTTTTTTCTCTAAGCCAGGGGATTGCATCGCTTTTCACATGAAGACACTTCATGCTACTACTAAAGCAAGTGCTACATCGCCAAGATACGTGATAGCCACAAGATGGCTAGGCGATGATGCTGTTTATGCAAGAAGGCCATGGAAGTCGTCCCCACCACAAGAAACCCTACCCAAAGGTCTTCAATTAGGAGCAAACATATCAACAACCAAAAGCTTCCCTATAATTTGGCAGAAGATGATGAACACTGAATGAAGAAAGCTTTTTGGTTTATCTGATATCGTTCTTATGATCGTACTCACTTAAGATATAAGAAATTTAGGATATCGTAACTATCATTTGATGACGACAGATATGAATAGTAATGTGTGAGTTGAAATTCACAGGAATACGACTGATTTAATATTTTACAAGTAATGCGTTCCGGGGTTTTTTTTATTCAGAGAAATCAATAACAATACAATTTTACATACTACCCTAATTACTGTACTACACTACGGGGACGATACCATGGGGAGCGAAAGACAATGACTACCCCATGGCCGATACATAAAAACACACAACATTAAACAAGGATAGAAAAAAAGATAACTAAAACTAGGTAGACTAATTACGAATACAGAGTAAACAGACAAAAAGTAGATGCTAAAGTATAAGAGTGTGCAGCAATGGAATATTTAAAAGCGTTCTGAAGCATGAATGAATTTGAGTGTTGCCTGAAGTAGCTTCTTATTTGAGTCAATGATTAGTCGCTCGTCACCATACAAAATGAATTTGAGTAAAGCTTCATTTGAAAGAGACGTTTCCGGCGTTTGAAAGCCTTAGATTTGATAATTTTCTTCTTGCAAACTTCGAGCCCCTTTTTCGGGTGCTGTATAGCAACTTACAAAAGACACACTTGAGTACATCGAAAACAATTCATTAATTGTTTAGAAACAGTTGTTTTTTTGAGGGAATACTCTTTGCAAGCCCTTATGTGAAAGGTGGATTTTTTGTAACATCCCCTCCCTCCCGTTTATGTAGAACTGTTTGTCCATGATTACAACCCTCGAGCCATTGTCAGCTGGTTTAATTACAATGTTGATGTCTTTTAAGATTTTTTAGTACGTTCCGTTCGGCGTGAGAGAGATTTTCTGTTATTTTGGTAGGCCGTATGTTTCTATTGTCATCCTCGATTTTGTTGATGTATGATTTTCCTCTCGATCCTTTCCAGTCATGAGAACACTATCGAAGTGCCTACTTTGAAATTCTAAATGTACTTATGAATTAGATTGAGACTTTGGAAACCGCAGCTTGAAGATAAAATTAATAATCATACTGCGACAAAGAAAAAAGACTCCAACTAGAGTCGAAACGTTTAATTTAATTTAATGGACTTATCTATTTAATGGTACAACAAGGAATTGTCTAAAACCAGATTATCATTACGTAACAAGAAGTTTTTTTATATATCAAATGAAAACATAACTACACGTGACAAATGATGCAGCCAGCTACTGTGCGACTCATTGTAGGAAAGGACATGTAGTCAGCGAGTTCCCACAATGAATGACACTTACAATTTTCTAGGGAATGAAACTCAAAAGAAGTATTACAAATACAATAAAAGAAAACAAACAAATAGCCTGATCGCTGAGCAAAACTGAGGATGTTTGATAAAATGATCGATCAGCCGCCCATCCGACCGGATCCAGATCAGACAGACCATAAATCAAACCACCCCACAGACACCCCCTTTTATTTAAAATGTTGGGAGTTCTCAATATATTAGATGGTTGCTTCTATTATCATTCTATTATCTATCATTGAAAAGAATGGGCTTCAATATTAGAGAAATCTGACCAAGGAGATCCTGACGCAACTGATGAAAAATTGGGCAGTGTAGGAAGAAGCCATACCACATTTACAAAGCGGGTTGAGACAATCAAAGTTATGCCGAAATTTGTGTTCGTTAAGGGAGCGAAATTCGAGACGACACGTTAATGATCGAATTCCCTGCAAGTTACCAATGCCATAAATAGGATTTCCCTCTGGTCTTACACGCGCAATTAGCAAACGCTTAAACTGAATGAGCGTCGAAGAAATTCTGAGTTCTTCATTAAGGGAGTTCCATTCAAATAATGTATTATGAAAGTATGTGTTTGAAAAGCGTGCAGCTCTGGCCACATTTTGAGCATCGTGCGCGAGTGTCTCAAGTGGTATGACTCTGGCCTGGAAGGTGGAGCCTCAGCAAACAGGAAGTGCGGAGATTTAAGTTTTCTTAGGTTGAAAAAATTGCACAACCTTCTGAACCACCTCCTATCGTACCCACCCGAGCTCTTTCTATAGCTTGTCTCCACTGGTTCCAAGCACCGATAGCAGCCAAGGCAGCTGCATACTGGGTTGGTTCAAGCTTATTCGTGAGATTAAGACACATACTAGGATCGTATTTGTGATAAATTATATCCCCATAGTCAAGATTAAGGCCTTACATAAAGCTTATAGAGCTGGATTAGGACATCTCTAGACACATTAAGACAGATGCTTCATCATTCCAATACCACGCCTAGCTTTGGCAGTCGCTTCTCTTAAATGAATTTTAAAGTCTAACCTTGAGTCCAAGACCATACCAAGATGTTTGTGTTCCGATGTTTGGAAAATAATAGTATCACCCAACTTTAAAGGGGGATGATCAGGTTTGATTCTTTTAGTAGAGAATATCACTTCCTCGGTCTTTAATTGCATTTTCCATTGCCACGCCCATAATCTAATCTTTTCAAGGTCATAATTTAGTTTACGAGCAGTGTTAGCAACATCATTTACAACGGAAAACAATGACGTGTCATCGGCAAAAAGTGTTACGTTACAGCTCACATTTTCAACAAGATCGTTAATGTATATAAGAAAGAAAAGTGGACCTAATACAGAACCTTGAGGAACACCAGCTGAAACAGTTAACCAACCAGACGATTTGTCATTCAATACGACGCGTTACTTACGGTTATTCAAGAAATCTTTGAGAAAAATTAGAAGATCACTCCACCACTTAAATTTTGCTAATATTTGCAATGGCGAGGTTAATAATAATAATAATAACACAATAAGTCCTTCATGCCAAACCCTCTCAAAAGCCTTCGACAAATCTAGAAAAACGGCTCTTGTTACTTTACTAGGTATTTCATCAAAAGCTTTGTAAATTAGGTGCGTTATTGAAATTAGTTGATTGATTGTAGAATCTCCAGGACAGAAGCCAGATTGTTTATCGGTTAGCAGTCCATTTATGAAAAGATGATAGTAGATTTCATCAAATATTAGCTTCTCAAAGATTTTACTAAATATTGGGAGCAAAGGAATAGGTCTATAATTATTTTTGCATTGTCTATTATTTTTCTTATGAATCGGAGTTATATTTGCCTTTTTCCAAATGAATGAATAGACACCAGTCTCCTGACTTTTTTCATTTATGATACACGAGGGACTTTTTTTTCAGACAACAGAGCTATCACACAACTTTATCAAAGACACTGATATTGCATCACAAACATGAGCTTTCTTAGAGTCAAGAGATCAAATCAAATTCAGTAACTTCTCAGCGTCAATATTAACACTTTCTAGAATTGAGTTGCCTTTTGGTAAAAAAGTAGGAAGGGTACTTCTAGTTCTAGCTTCAGAGCACTGACAGACAAAAGATTCATCAAAGATTGTTGCTTTACTTTCAAAATTGGTGACTAGCAAACCATTTTCAAATAGGGGTGGAATATTCATTATACTCTTTTTATTTATTAATCGATTCAAAGTTGCCCAGTACGCCTTGTCTCCGCGATTAGGATCGCCGAACTTACGATAAAATATTTATCCTTTGCATTAATGATCATTTCTGACGCCTCATAACGAGCCTCCTTAACGAGAGCCCAGTCCTCCTGTCTACGACCGCGGCCAAAAAATTTTCTATAAACCCTGTGCTTACGTTTTATTGCTGTTTTAATGTTTCGATTTATCCAAGGTGGGTCTTTATCGTTGATTTTCAAGACTTTATTTGGAATATTTTTCAAGAATAACGAGTACAAGATGTCAGTAAAAACCTGTGCCATTTTTGCGACATCTAAATCTAGAAATCTGGCATTCCAATCTATCTCTTCAATTTGCTTTCGAATTGCCTGGGCATCTGCTTTACTGTAGCCCCGCCCCAAACAAGTCGTTTGTAAGGAGGAGGGGAGGGTATATTTATGTCCAACTTCCCAAGAATGATCTGGTGTTGACAGTGTTCATCTAGAGAAGGGTGAACCCAAGCCCGTAGCCAGGCCTGTGGAGAAAGGGTGGCAAATCCCCAGACCTGTTGCAGGCAGACGTTTCAGCAAGTCTTTTTATAAGTTTTGCTTAGCAGCGAAAGTTTTTTTGAGCGCCAGGCACCATCTTAAGAGGCCCCAATAAACATAATATATGGGTAATATATGGATAATAAGAGATCCAAATAAACAATTATCTTGCTCCAGGGGTGGCATTGCCAACCCATGCCACCCCTTGGCTACGGGCCTGGGTGAACCCCAGAATTAACAAACAGATTGCCTGGTCAGTTATTATGAAATCAATACATGACATCCCACTACCACGGATGTTGGTGGGTCCCTCTATCAACTGATGCAAATTATTGGTTTCAATTAACTCATCTAGGGCAGCTCCTTCAGGAGTCTCAATATTTAGTCCCACCACGGAGATGATCGACAATTGAAATCGCCAGTTAAAACAACAGCATACATAAGGTGCTTCATTTCGGATAACGACAAGCATCGATTGAAGGGAATCCATGTTTGTTCCAAACTGATCACTACTTTGGGAGCGACTACGATAATTAGCAATAAAAAATACTTTTTTCTTGCAACTATTGTTTCAATGACTACAGTCTCCTGTACAGAGGCGGACTGGCAGCAAATCTCTCGGGTTGCTATAAACAGAAAAGGGGCCCGTACTACGTATAATGTAAGCAACAGGGGCGTTGTGGCTCCTAGAAAGGGGCCGGGAGAAAATCATCATAAGGGGGCCCACTCTTGTGTATGATATCTCCAATCACAAACACAAGTCGCCAAAATGATATGTATCTGGAAACCATCCAAAGATCCCAGTTTTTATCATTTTGAAAGGTTCATCTGCTATATTTGTTGGGGGTGTAGCCCCCTTTCACCAACCATAGATACTTTAAGACTGCCAAAAATGAGGAACAAATTCAATGCTGTAGTGCACAGTTGATACTAACAAAAATGTAACAGAAGACATATATGCACTGCGAGCGAAGCGAGCAGAAAAATTCTTTCGGCCACGCCCTTTAAATTAGCTTGAAACACGATTCAGAATGCTTTTCACAGTCGTTTATCTCGTTTTACAAATTTTTAGGCATACTTTGTTGCGTTTCGTTAAAATTCAGTTCTTAATTTGGACTTTCTTGCTTTAAGAGGACCCCTAGACCTCGAGGCCCTGGGACAGTTTGCCCCTCCTTGTCCCCCTCTCGGAAGCCCTGTTCATATTCCACGCATCTCTTTCACAGTTGCCTGTTTGTAAATGTTGACCTCCTCTAATTCTGAACTGTGAACTTGAGTATACATGTAAGTGCGGTGTTTTCTCACCAAAGATTTTGTTCATATTAGATATTTTCCTGGGTTTTTCAAACTCACTGGAAAGGTGGCCACCGAGAAATTTCTCGGTGTCCCGCCTAGCCACAACACCCCTGTTAAGCAATATTGAAATGTTTTCTTTCTAAGCATTTTATCTCCATTTCTGTGACTTGTATTCTCTTGAACATAGATATCTTTAAGATGAACAGAGTTATTTTATCGAATTTATCTACGAAGGGCCCGGTTATTATGAAGTTGAGAGGGCCCGGGTTGAGATCGCAACCCTAGCATCCCTGCCAGTCCGCCGCTGCTCCTGTAAAAATTCAAGTTCAGTTCGCCGCTCAACGGGGA